ACGTTCTTACCAGTAGGAAAAATGCTTCCATTTAAAGAGCACATAAGAACGATAAGTTGCCTGACAACCACGGAAAGAGGCAAGTCTAGCCAAGCATTGCCCTTTTGATGAATGTGTTCGTAGAAATTCAATATCCATGTCACTTTCGCGGGTGATACTAGAAGATCGTGCCAGAGCTGAACATCATAACCATTACAAACGTCATGCGATGCTTATTTGTACCTGTAATTGCTCAGAAGATTTTCTGCTTGCGGGCGACGAGGACAGAGTGCTTGCACGACTTTTACCAAGAACAGCGAGTTTACCACGAAATTCCCAGTTCAAAATCTGGGTCATTAGCCGGATTGCTACAGTACAGATCGCTGACTCTTGATTCTCTCCTTGTCCTTCAAGCGCTTTGCTTGCCACCATAACTGAAGCATCAAATGCCCATGCATAGAATTTCTAAAAGCCAAATTAGAAAAACCATCAACATATGAAACTGCAACTGGAAAAAAGAATCATACTTGTAAATAGCCCGCCTCCAAAGAAGCACGACATTTATCATGAAACTCCGCAGGGAGGCCCATCGGACTTGCGGTGGAGAGCGAGAATTCGGACACCTGAAAAAAGAAAGAAATTGGAAACAGTCACGACACTTGCAATATGTCCATTACCAGCTTACCAATGCTTCAAGTAATGAGATGCCAAACCGCTGGGCAGCAAGACCGTGTCTTCCGGCGACAGCCTGCTCAACCTGTATAAAAATCTTTTCAGCTCAGTCGCGATGTCGTCAAGGAACTTGCACAAACGCTTTTACCTCTTCAAGAAAAGAAGCCTTCTCAGCCTGAGTGTACTCCAGCCTGTGGAAAAAAAAAGATCCAAACGTGGATTTCAGCCTGAAGATCTGCTTACCAACCACGTTTAAGCAGTGCTGCCACCACAGACAAAATTTTTGATAGAATGTACCCTTCGGATGTTTCCACTCGAGCCATAACGTATTGTAAGCAATAGCTAAAATAACACCACTCCAAAACCATAGTGAAGCAAGTAGAAAAAATGGTCGATACACAAACAAACACACACATACCTTCGCAGTCTTGATTTTTCTTCTGGAGATATCAAAGTCCATTCCCGTATTGCGGCCTCCTGGATCGTGGCAGCCGCTAGAAATTTGGCTGTGGCGACCTGGGAATTTTCTGGATCGCGATGGAGTGTTAGAAGATTCACAGGCACGAAGACTGTAGCTATTTACCGAGAATATATTGGCAGGCGTAGAATGGATGCGGAGATTTTCTGAAAGCCAGCAGTGTCGCTTCCGCCGATGATCGGATCCCTGGATCAGATACCTGCATTCACCGCTCAGCAGTGATCGATCGAGATAAAATCTCACATGGAGAGCCGCGCAAGATTGCTCCACCGCTTGCATCGAGCACTGGAGATCCTGCTGCTCCATAGCCACAAAAGCCTTAAACCCTAAACATGGAAGCGCTAGGACGATATCGAACGCCAGACCGCTCTCTCCTCAACGGCTACTTTACTCTTTCCCTCTTTCAAATAGAACTATTTCTAGGGTTCTAGGAAAGGGGAGTGTTGGCCATGGCGGCTGCGAACATCGGGATGATGGATGGCGCCTACTTCGTCGGGAGGAATGAGATTCTTGGCTGGATCAACACCACGCTTCAGCTCAGTCTTACCAAGATTGAAGAGGTGAGAATGTGGAGAGAATCCCATCTTATCTTGCAAAATATTTGCTTTGTGGATGCTTCGCAGGCATCTAGCGGGGCGATCTATGTCCAATTGATGGATGCTACACATCCGGGTGTTGTGCCGATGCACAAGGTCTGGAAGATAGACTCTTCGTTTGATTCTCCTAAAAATTCTGTGTTATTTCACTGACAGGTGAACTACGACGCTAAGAACGAATATGAAATGATACAGAACTACAAGGTTCTCCAGGATGTTTTCAACAAACTCAAAATCAGCAAGGTAAAAGCAGTCGGAATAGATCGTGAGAATCTAAAGTTTGTGAACGATTTGGCAGCATATTGATGTGATGAAGCTCACCAAAGGCCGACCCTTGGACAACCTTGAGTTCGTTCAGTGGCTCAAGCGTTACTGCGACTCGGTTAATGGTGGAGCTCCAGCCCCAAGGTATACTTCTCGTTTCCACTTTTATTTTTCTTGGTTTCTTATTTGATTGTTGCAGCTACAATCCAGTTGAAAGGCGCGAAGCTTGCAGGGGAGGAAAGGAGGCTAGTAAACGAGCATCACACGTCAACTCTGTTGCAGTTTCAAAAGCTTCCAACAATGCCAAGCTCAGTAACTCAACTGTTTCTGCTCCTCGCTCATCTGAAACTCCAAATCCTCGTAAGCTCCTGGTTACACGGCTATCAATCACTGATACATTTTTTACAGTTAAAACCAAGCAACTAATGTCTGCAGCAGTCGTCGTCCCTCCTACTGGATCGGCTCCACAAACGCCAGCCAGACTTTATGCTCTTCAAGAACAGGTACTTGGCAACTTGTTCCAACGTCTTCATACCTACTTGATTTCGCAGATCACGGAGCTCAAGCTGTCAGTGGACAGTCTCGAGAAAGAGAGGGACTTCTATTTCTCAAAGCTGCGCGATATCGAGATTCTGTGTCAGACTCCAGCCATAGAAAATGCCCCGGTACGCTCTGTTATTATGTATTGGCATCACCTTTTTACCCGGATGTTATTTCCAGGCGGTGCTCGCTATTCAAAAGATCTTATACGCTGCGGAAGACAGTGCAACCATCCTTGCTGAAGCACAAGCGCTGGCCATTGAAGCAGAGAGCGTACCACGAACGGCATTGGACGCCAACGAGGCAGCACTAGAGACTACTCCTGAAGCGGTTTCCAGCATCCGGCGGGAGAGCCTCAAGCGCAAGTCAATCGGAGGCCTGGAAGTAGAGAATCCATCTCCTCGGCAACGCAGGAATTCATGTGGAGGCTCAGCAGCAGCAGCAGCAGCGGTGGGAATAGCATCTGAGGAAATCGTCCTGGGATCCTCACCCTTGAGCGTTCAGTAGTGAAGGTATTTCCTTTTCTTTTCATTTTCTTTTTCTTCAATGACGTTCTCCTTGCTGCCGATGGATAGCTTACCGGAATGCTCGGTATCCAGACGATTGGATATCACTGGCGTCATCCTAGAGCTTGTTCGGTAATCTTCTTTTGTTTCTTTGCGCCGTCCTGGAGCCAAATAAAGAAGTTGCCAAGTAGAAGATTGGCTTGCGGTCGCTCTTCGTCATTGCAGTGATTCGGCCTCGAGAAAACCAACGAATCAACCCAAGTATCACTAAAATGATTGTCTAGACCCCAGATGGAACGAACAAATGCTCTCGCATTCTCAGTTCACGCTCGTAACTTTGTAACTTTGTTGGCCTTGTCAAAGTTTTTTGACGGTGGGGACTTGTTGCCGGGGGCCTTTCGCGCGTACGAGCGTACCCGTGATGCTCTGAAATGATGTGAGCGATTGGATATCCGAGCCGCACTGATCTTGGGCGCAAGCGGAAGCGTCAAACTCGCCGCCCAAGTGTGTTAATCGGCAAAGCAAAGAGAGGGCCGACAGGCAGCGCGTAAAATATACGGGGGGCCACGCGCGGCGTGCTGGCGGGCGGGCGAGAATCCACAGCGCTGTTAACGCCACCACCGTTGCTTTCGCGACTTCTTCCCCCGCTCCTTTGCGGTACCAAGTTGCCCCTCCGTACGGGGCTAGGGTTTAAGCCGTACGGAGGGGGGGTCTTGGCGGTTAGTGCGAGCTACGCCGGTCCCAGGCAAGTGGACAAGAAACTTCCATTCATGAACGAAAATCGTCCCCAAATCTCTGCTGCTACTCTACTGGCGCTGCTCTGCCGCCCCCCATGACAAAATTTTCTCGCTCGCTGCAGATGTGGTCCACTTCTCTTATCTCTTATCCAACATGATGCGCGCAGTGCACTGCAGTGTAGCAGCCCGATCTCTCTCTCCCATCCCACGCATTTGATTCCAAAAGAAAAGTGATAAAGGAAAAAATAAAAGAGAGAGAGAGAGGGGGAGACCAGAGTCAAACCCGGGGTGAGTGTGTGTGTGTGTGCGTCCTGGAGCAACATGAGCCAAGGCTGCAAAAGCCTCGGCCAAAAGGACTACAATAATAACAAAGAGAACTTTGCCTAGAATAATTTTTTGTTTTTCTTTCCCCTGGTCACCTCTACCTGTACGGGCATTGAGAAATTTCTACTGGGTTCAAAGTATTTTGAATTAAAAGTATTGTTGTTAATGTGCTAGGCTAGAGTTTATATTGTTTTCATTTCAAAGACATGAACCAAATCAGAGCAAGATCTTTGCGAGCAATTGTTTAAGCGGGGGGCATATTTGGAGAATTGATACCGGTTCCCGTTGGGGTCAACATTCCCCATGTCCCATACTCCCCTCCAATACAACAGAATTTGTCTTGTATCAAGTTGGCAATGTCACCCCAACTTGCTTGTTTATTTTTTATGAGCAGGAGCTATCACACCCACGCCAGTGACCACCACCACCGCCACCACCACCACCACCCCCCAGGAAAAATTAGGGCGCGCCACAAAATGTTGCAATCAATGTGCGGATTCTCGGTAGTGGTGCACACCAAATGCAATTGAAAAAAGCTTGGGAACATATAAGGCCAAAGAACCTAGTTACCATTACCACCAGCACCACCACAAGATTTGATCAACAGTGCCCAAAAATCTTGTGATTGATGGCCCGAATCTTGCAAGCCTTTAGGTAGGTCATCATATGCCCACAAACGTTGGATAAGCACTCCCATCCCATACATTCTAGCCCGCCAAAATCGTCCGCCAAACCACCCCACGCGCGACCGGCGCTGCCGGTGCGCCGGTTGTGGTCGCGAGATCGGATCGAACCCCCCCCGTGCACTGGCACCAAATCTCCCGAGTGTACGGAATGCGCATGGGTTTTGGGACCATGTGCCGTACGGGCGTGGGCCGCGAGAGAGGGAAGGGGAAAAAACACAATAGGTGAGTTAAAAACACGCAAGGGGAAGGGAGAGAACGCGAGAGAGACGCGAGAGAGAGGTGAGAGAGAGGTAGAGCTCAAGGGTTTCTATTGTTCTTGGGGAGGAGACGCCATGTCGCGAGAGGACGAGGGCGATAAGCGCGTCGCGGACATCGATGCTGCCATTCGCGTGGTGCCCGATTTCCCAAAGCCAGGTATAATATCGCTCGCTCTCTATCAGCTCGAATCTCTTGGCGGCGCCATCGCGCAATCGCATTCCTTTTGCCTTTTTCTCCTTTTCTTGCTTGGATCTGTCGATGCGTTGTGTGTAATGCGGCACTCGAGGCCCCACGGTCGTGCATTGCTCTTCCTGCCTGTTAATTCTCTCCCTCCATCTCGTGCCGGCGATCGTGCTGCCTAAAAGGGAATGGAATGGAAATTCCACGATCTCTGTCGCTCGCTCGCTCGCCCGAGAAAGTGTGTGCTCGTCCGTGTTGCCCAAATTATTTTTCCTCACTCCGCGAGGTGGGATTATTTTAAGCGCGGCATCGCAGTCACGTCATTACGGGATTGTTTTGTGATTGTTTTTGTGATTGACTTTTTGCGAGTGGTGTTGCGGAAATCTGCGTGCGCCGCGTCTCTGCTTTTTCTCCGCTGCGCCTGCGAATTCTTTGCGCATGCAAGGCGAAGCTCCGGCTGGAATGATTTGATTGCTCGTGGGAAAAATGCCAGGGATCAAGTTTCGAGACGTGACAACTCTTCTGAGCAACTACAAGGCGTTTAAAGACACCATAGACTTGTTCGTCGAGAGGTACTCGGACAAGAAGATCGACGTGGTCGCGGGTAAGTTTCACCTCCTTGCTTTTGTTCCCTTTCTGCTGATCAATCTCTTCAACTTTTCCTTGATCCAGCCATTGAAGCTCGTGGATTCATCTTCGGTGCGCCTATCGCTCTGGCGCTCGGTGCCAAGTTTGTACCGCTCAGGAAGCCCGGAAAATTGCCAGGTACTGGTAAAAGTCGGTTGTCCCTGGGACGTTTTGATTGATGCTGTTGGGATCTCTTGGTGATCAGGCGAAACCATTTCCGAGGCCTACACGCTAGAGTACGGCAAGGACTGCATGGAAATGCATGTTGGAGCGGTCACTGCGGGCGAGCGAGCGCTCGTCATCGACGACCTCATCGCCACAGGCGGTACGCTCCGGGCAGCGATCAGATTACTGGGTAAACTAATACTGTTGTTTCGTCCTTGTTCGTCCTCCTCGTTCGCTTTCTTATGCTCTTTTCTCCTTTTGGTTTGTTTTCTACGAGCAGAAAGAGCCGAGGCGGAGGTGGTAGAATGTGCTTGCGTTATCGGATTGGTAGACCAGAAGGTACTCTCGATCGCCTGGCAACTTGCGCCTCGCTCTCTCTCTCTCTCTCTCTCTCTCTCGCTTGCTCGCTCGTAGTACTTTGGATTGATTCCAGTGCGCTTCTGTGCTTGTGTCTGTGTACTTCAGGGACAGGAGAAATTGGGTGGTACTCCGCTGTTCGTTCTGGTAGAATGCGAGGGCGATTAATAATGTGGGTGTGTTGGAATTCGCAGCTCTCGAGTTACTATCGAGGATGATCAAGCCAAAAAGTTGCTAACGAACGACTGAAAGAGAGAAGAAAGGGAGGAAAGAAATGATGAAAGAACAAAGGCCGCATTCATTTGAAGCTAAACTATTCTTTTATCTTTGGGATTAGATGTAATCGGGGTTTAGATGTGCCACGCGGATGGGTTAGGGCTTTCTTCTCGGGTGTTTAGGGCTCGTCGTCTCGTGGAAGGTGCGTTGGGTGCGATGCTTGGATCGATCGATTTGCCTGCGCGCGCGCATTTCAATCCGGGGGATTGAGGATTGACAGCCGCGATCCGTGGTGTGCAGCGGCGATGGAGAATTCGGATATGTTTAATGCAGCTACCAAGCAGCAGACGTTCCATGATTTCCTCGAGCGGATGAAGCATCCATCAGCTGCCGATCTCGTGCGCTCCATCAAGAGGTCTGCTGGCATTTCTTCATTGTCGTTTCGATCTGATCCCTTCCTCTTTCGCTGAAAAATGGGATCTTTTCGACAGCTTCATTGTGAATTTCATGAGTAGCCCGATTGATCCGGCAATGGACAGCGCCAGCGCGCAGGATTTCCTGAGCACGACGGAGGTTGCGTTTAGAGCGCATCCCTTGTGGGCCGGAGCCACGGAAGAAGAGCTCGAAAACGCCGCGGAGGTACGTAAGTCTGTCCTCTCGCTGTTCTAAAAAAACTTGATAGAGCTGTGCAGGGACTTGAGAAGTACGTGATGACAAAGATCTTTACGCGAGCCTACTCGCCACTCCCGTCGGATTCTCTCAAGGACCAAGAGCTCTCGGACAAGATCAGCTTGCTACAACACTTTATCAAGCCGGAGCACCTCGATCTTCCTCAAAGTTTTCAAAACGAAGCATCATGGCTGGTAAGTTCTTTTTTCCGCTTCCGGTGACTTCATGGAATTAAGAGCCTATGATAGATCGCCGAGAAGGAGCTCCAAAAGATTAACAGCTACAAAGCTCCGAGGGACAAGCTGGTGTGCATCCTAAACTGCTGTCGAGTGATCAACAATCTCTTGCTCATGGCCAAGAGCGGCACGCCTCCCGGAGCTGAAGAGTTCCTTCCAGCTCTCATTTACGTCGTTATCAAGGTTCTTTTCGACTCATGTCTATGTAAGACTGGACTAACCAAAAGCTTCCAACGTTTTTGTCAGGCTAATCCACCGCAGCTCCACTCAAATCTCCAATTTATCGAGAGATACAGGCACAGCTCCCGGCTGGTTGCAGAGGCATCCTACTTCTACACGAGCCTGGTATCGGTGGAATCATTCATCGAGAAGCTGGACGCAAAGTCACTGTCAATGGACGAAGCTGAGTTTGAGGAAAGGATGCAAAATGCTCGGTCAGTCGTGTTCCCGCCGGGCCTTCCTTCGACACCACCCGAGAAGTTACTGCTGCCGAAAGAGAAGGAGGGTTCCATTACGAAGCCGGACGAACCAACAAAGAGAACAGCAAAGGAGAGCTCGGAGCTCTCTGTGGCAAAGTTGGAAGCCGGGGGAGCGTCCGGGGTCGTGGAAGCGGACAGAAGCGGTCAGCTTGCAAAGGAGTACCCCTTTCTCTATGCGAGTGCCGGAGACTTGAGAGTCGAAGACGTCGAGTCTCTGCTCACGCAGTACAAGGAGCTGGTCCTGCGATATGTTGCGCTCCGTAAAGGCCTGGAAAGCATTGGAAGAAAGCCGGCGATTGTCGAAGAGCCTACATCTCCAGCCCCTGCTCTAGCAGCTCCAGTTCCAGCTCCAGCTCCAGCTCCAGCTCCAGCTCCATCCGGGACGATCGCTGCTCAAGACGGTGGATCGACGTGCTCCAACTCGACAATCGACGATGCCTTGCACGACTCCATCCCGGAGCTCTCGTGGGATCGGCCGCACGACGAGGAGCAGTGGGAGAAAGTTAACGAGCAGCAGAGCCATCACGGTGGTGGTGGAAGTGAGGCCAACGATTTGGACCCGGTGGTGATCACGTAAGTAAAGGTTGGCTATGAACAGGCGGGAAGGAAGGTATTTGAATTTCGAATTTGGAGAGAGTGTGCGGCTCATTGTTGAGAATTTCAGGTGGCTGTCACTGAAAGACGTGAAACTTGAGTGAATCCGATCGATAGCCGAGGAGAAGCTTTCTCTCGATATCAAGTAAAGCAATGCTAGAATTTCGCTGGAAGAAATCGTGGCTTAAGAGAAGTTCTTCCGTAGCGCGGAAGAGTTTCTTTGCATGGAGAAATTCGCCAAAACTTGGCAAAGGAATGGGACGATCTTATTGGAAGGAATTGGTTTTGGGAATATGCTGGTTAATAAATCTGTATGAACAAAGAAATCGCTTTGTACAAAGAAAGGAAAGAAGCTCCCTTGAGCGTTGCAGTGTCAAGGAGGATTTCTTCTAGCCTAGTGTTCTTCTTGGCCGAAGGTATTCTCCCCGCTGTACGTGAAGTAGAGGAATCCATCCTCGTCCTTGTGCTCCTCGTAGATGGTCGATATCAATGCCGCTACAAAAGGAAAGGAATAGTGTAAATCAATATACGTGGGATTACGTCTCGACGGCTCATACCAGTCGGCGGTAGCGTGTTCTTGACGAAAACGAAGATTGCCTTCTCCGGAGTCACTTTGATCCTCTTCCGGATCACATAGACGAACTGGCCAACGGTTAAATCAGCCGGGACGAGGTACCTGCGAGCAAGAAGATCGCGCGAAAGCTTTAGAGTAATTCCCAGAAGAGAGAGAGAATTGCGCAAGCTTTAGAGTAATTCCGGAGTCTCTGAGAGAGAGAGAGAGAGAGAGCTTACTTCTTCTTATCGATCTCGCCCATGTCGGTCTTGGCGGCCCTCTCCACAATTACCTGATAGGATCCATCAAGGAATCAGGGAAACAAAAAGGAAAAGCTCTACTCACGGGCACTCGATCGGGGTACTTCTCTTTGATCCTTGCCGCCTCCTTCTGCCTCTTCTCTGCGAGATTATAGAGCTAAGAAAAGAGATTCTCGGCGAGGAAAGAAAGGCGCTCACCGAGTGGATGCTCCTGCTTGAAGATGCTCGCCGCCATGGTTGATCGATCGATCACAAGCAATCCAAGGTCGCCTTCTCTCTCCCTCTCACGCAATCCCTAAGGGCAATCCCTTCTCAAATTATTTAAAGCCGGACTGAAAAGGGACCATAAAATCAAAAGTCTAATGTCTGAGCCCGGGTTCGAACCGGGGACCTCTAGTGTGTGAGACTAGCGTGATGACCAACTACACCACCCAGACACATCTGTTTAAACCCTTTAGAGCGTTTCTACTAGTTGTGATTTGGGTGTGAAGAACCCTAAAAACAGAGCTGGGAGGGAAAGAGGGATTCTTTCGCGAGGGAAATGGCGGCACAGAGAGCTGGCCGCCGCGGGCAGGAAATGGCGGACGATGAAGCTCACACTCCCTTGCAAGCGATTCTCCTGGCGGACAGCTTCACGCAGCGCTTCCGGCCGATCACAATGGAGCGCCCTAAGGTACGCTTTGTGTGATTCTTATAGCATGGCGATTCATCAGAATTCCAGGTGCTGCTCCCTCTCGTCGGCGTTCCGATGATCGACTACACTCTGGAATGGCTCGCCTCGGCCGGCATTGAGGAGGTGTTCGTGTTTTGCTGCGCTCATGCCAAGCAAGTCACGAGCTATCTCAAGACATCGCGGTGGAAATCCCAGCCGAACTTCAAGCTCACTTGCATCCAGTCCGATGACTGCGTGAGCGCTGGCGATGCGCTCCGCTCGATCGATCAGAGAAATGTGGTACGTAGTTTGCTAGAAGTTTGTGCTCTAGTTGACGATGAGTTTGTTCTTCCAAGGTTCTGGGAGACTTTGTGCTTGTAAGCGGCGACACTGTGAGCAACATGCCGCTCAAAGAAGTTATACAGGAGCACAAAGCGCGAAGGACGAAGGACAAGCTAGCCGTCATGACAATGGTTGTCAAGCGCTGCAAGCCATCGCCATTGACGCATCAGACGCGCCTTGGTAATGAGGAGCTCGTTCTTGCGATTGATCCGGCTACGAAGCAACTTCTCCACTATGGTGCTCCCAACAAGCAACGCCAATCGATCTTGCTAGACAAAAATTTGCTGGCTGGCAGGCAAGGTGTCCGGCTTCACCTTGACATGCAGGTTCGTTCTTTTTATTTTATTTTATTTCATGAAGGTTTCGGATATTCAAGTTATTGCTTTTCACAGGACTGTCATATCGATATATGCTCGCCGGAAGTTCTGATGCTTTTTACCGACAACTTCGATTACCAGCAGATGCGGAGAGATTTTGTTCGAGGGCTGTTGAGCGACGAGGTATCCAAACATTTTGGTTTTATGATACGAAATGCTTAGCTAAGTATACGGGTTTGCCTGAAGATCATGGGAAACAAGGTGTACACTTACGAGATTTTTGAAGACTATGCTACTCGGATCGACAACTTTCGAGCGTATGACGTCGTTAGCAAGGATGTGCTACATAGGTGGACGTATCCCATTGTTCCTGAAGTTTCCTTCTCGGACTCGCAAGCCACTGTGAATCTGGATCGGTGCAACAAGTACAGAGAGCAAGGTAGTCTTTCTAGACTTGACCTCTCTAATTCTTTTTCTTTTGCCAGGTGCTACCGTTTCTAGAAATGCATTGATCGGCGAAAATACGTTCCTTGGGCAGGGTACTACAATTGGCAGTCACAGCAAGATCAAAAACTCAGTTATTGGCCGGGGATGCAAAATTGGTGAGAATGTGGTCGTGGAAGGAAGCTACATTTGGGACAATGTGACAATAGCCGACAATGTACAAGTTATTCAGTCTATCATTTGCGACGGTGTCCTTGTCAAAGCCGGCGCCAGACTAGAGCCTGGAGTTGTTCTCTCTTTCAAGGTTAGCTATACTATCCGGTTTATACCATGACCTTGTGTAGATATGGTACAGGTTACCATTGGTGAAAACTTCACGGTACCACAATACTCAAAAATATCTCGTGTTCCTGAACCCACGGAACAAGATAGCAGCGATGAGGAGCTTGAGTATGCAGATTCAACTGGTGACGATTCAGGTGGAAGGATTTGTTTCGAACCTAATGCCGACATTTTGATATCGTCTATGGTTGCAGACGATCGGAAGAAGGAAAACTCCGTTGGCAAAGACAATGTCAGGCAGTCTTGGTCTAGTCAAGAGGTGTGGTTTGTATATGTTTCTTCTCAGACATATCTGCAAACAAAGTTCAGGTAGGACAAGACGGAGCGGGTTATCGTTGGTTTAAGGACGCAGTCCACGACGAAGAATGGAAGCAGTCTGCGGCAGCCATCAGCGGTGAGAAAATCAAGGAACTGATGGCAAAACAAGAGCAAGAAGAAGATGATATCCAAGATGTCGATGTCATTCCCGAGGAGAAACTCTTAAGTGACGAGGAAGAGAGCGTTGACGAGGACGACAACTTTGAAAAAGAGGTAAATCTTGTTGGTTCTTTTGACGAAAATGTTGATGGATGCGTGATCTTCTTAGGTTGAAGAGAATTTCAAGCGAGCGGTGAACGGAGTGAAGCTGGAGAACGTGGTTCTGGAAGTCAATTCCCTGAAGTAAGTGCACTTTTGTTACTCTACTCGTTAAAGAAGACGTCGAAATCTCAGATTGGGATACAATAAGGCGTTCTCAGACTGCGCTGGAGCAATGTTTAGAGCCATGCTGAACCTGGCTCTTGAGACGCCACATTCTACTGCCGGTTTGTTTTTTTCCACTTGTCTAGTCTCTTAATGTGCAGTCATTTGTTTAGCCGAGCTCTTGTCGACAACGAAGCAGGTCATCTCGAAATGGTCGACGCTGTTCCGCAACTTCTTAAAGTCCGAGGACGACCAGGTAGGCTCTCTTTTGTCTTTGTTTACCATGTCGTCACACCGATTCTCTCCCATTTGTAGATCGAAGTTCTCCTTAAGTTCGAGGAGCTGTGTCTCGAGAGCGCTTCTGAATTCTCTCCACTGTTTTCCAAGGTAACTCTCGCTTCGTCGTCACTCCCGCATAGATTTAATCCCGGAAAGCACAACCTCAGGTGGTGGAGGAGCTCTATGACAAGGACTTGGTGTCGGAAGAAGCGGTGATGTCCTGGGCGTCGGAAAAGGCCGGAGCCGAGGAAGCGGACAAGGTGTTCTTGAGGCAATGCGAGAGCTTCATCAAAGTAAGCTTCTTTTTTTATTTCCATCACTTTTATATCACTGATCGATCCTCTCGTTTCAGTGGCTTAACGAAGCCGAGGAAGAAGAAAGTGAGGAGGATTGAGAAGAAAAGCATCAAAAAAATGTTCGTCAATGTTTTGCCAAGGAAACTGAGTGTTATATAGTTCCAATTTTGCCGATAATCAGCTTACTTATAGTATTGTTTTGATTCATGGGACTATGGCATGTAACCTAATTAAAATCTCACATAGTTTCGAGTTCTTCGTGGTTTTGGCGGAATGGCTATGGCAATGGCCGCCGCGGCGCCTCGCACGGTCCAGGCGCTCGAATGCGGGGCCTCCGGCAGCGAGCTTCCTCGCATTGCGAGAATATCGGCCCGGCTTCCATCTAGAAAGGGTTTTAGGGGTTTAGCGGTCGCGGCGAGAATGCGCAGGAATTCGCCGCTCGTTCGATGTGCCGCGGCGCAATCTGCGTCGGCATCGCCCCGGCCGGCAATGCAGCCGCGATTCATCCAGCACAAGCAGGAGGCCTTCTGGTTCTACCGCTTCTTGTCGATAATCTACGACCACATCATCAATCCGGGGCACTGGACCGAGGACATGAGGGATGATGCGCTCGAGCCGGCGGATCTGAGCGACCGGAACTTGGTGGTGGTGGATGTTGGCGGTGGCACCGGATTCACGACGCTGGGGATTGTCAAGCATGTGGACGCCAGGAATGTTACCATTTTGGATCAGTCGCCACACCAGTTGGCCAAGGCCAAGGAGAAGGAGCCGCTCAAGGAGTGCAAGATCATCGAAGGGGACGCGGAGGATCTTCCTTTCGAGACCGACTACGCCGATCGATACGTTTCTGCTGGGAGGTAAGCTTTTTCTTGTGCACTTTTCTTCCTCCATGGTTTTTTTTCTTGGAGCATACAGTGTTTTCTGTGTATTGGATGCATGCATGGAGCTTTTTTTCCTGGCAGGATCACGGGATCTAGTTTGTACTGGATCTTGTCAGCCATTCCATGTTTTAGATTTGCGCGAGATCAGATCGTCTGCTGCTTTACGTGATCAAAGTGATCTTGCGTGACTGTGGATCGGTGCCTTTAGTTCTTTAGTTTTTCACGTGAGACCACCGTTTGGCTTCATGGCATGGATCACTGTTCTGGGATTTCCTGCTGACTTGAAGCCTGCATCAAGGATTTACTGCTAAACGGTGAAAGGTCTGACTTTGATCGAAACTTTCTTCTTTCTCTGCAGCATAGAGTACTGGCCCGACCCTCAGCGAGGCATCAAAGAGGCCTACCGCGTGCTCAAGAAAGGTGGAAAGGCGTGCTTGATCGGTCCCGTCCACCCCACCTTCTGGCTCTCGCGCTTCTTCGCGGATATGTGGATGCTCTTCCCCAAGGAGGAAGAGTACATAGACTGGTTCACCAAGGCAGGCTTCCAGGACGTGCAGCTCAAGAGGATTGGACCCAAATGGTACCGGGGCGTGAGGAGGCACGGATTGATCATGGGCTGCTCGGTAACCGGCGTGAAACCAGAAGCTGGCGACTCTCCTCTGGATGTAAGTTTTGCTGTGCTCTTTGGCTTAAGTTTTGTGTTGATCTTTTCTCTGTTTTGTTGATCTTCCAGCTTGGTCCCAAGGCCGAGGACGTTCAAGCTCCCAGCAATCCTCTAACGTTCTTCTTCCGGTTCCTCGTTGGGGGGATTGCTTCACTCTATTTCGTGCTGGTTCCCATTTACATGTGGCTCAAGGATTTGATCACTCCAAAGGGTCAACCTATCTAAATCCTCATGTTTTTTGGTTTTTTCTGTAAGATCTATCACTGTAAGCGTTGCGATATTTTTGTGATTGCATTATCCTTCTTGGAAAACATTTCGTTCACTATGCTACAAGTGATGAATCGGGTGTCACCTGCGAAAACAGCCCAGGATCATGTTCTTCATCATTGACAGCATGAATTTCAAACCCGCAGTGCCACCGGGGAAATACGATAACACGTAGTATAGCAACGCTAAAATCTGCAAGGCTCGACTCAAGCTCTGATGGAGTAGACAAAAACAGGAGCTTGATTACCTCAATACCGGAGAAAAGCAAACAAAGAAGATAGCTGTGCATGATCACGGACGAGTAAATCGCTCCCACCATGCTTCCTACAAACGCAACAGAGAAGGGTAGTCTCTGCAAAAGCAAACTCGCAGAGCTCAGCTCACAGCGCAAGAGTAGAAACATGGAGCTCATTCACCTCTTAGTTTGTTTCCAAGTAGATTAACCCGACGATCGGTACCTCTTTCGACATCATGTGTGCGAGCTGGGCTCTGGGGCCTTTCAAGGCGAAGAAGGAACCGATGACAAGGCAGCTGCCGAGGGAAAAGCACGAGGCAAACTTGGCGGGCATGAGAACGATGAGCGGCAAAAACATGACGAGAGAGATGAAGATGAAGAAGCAGCCGGCTCCGAGCATGATGCTGAAGTAGAGCAGCTGGTTTCGCGATGGCAAGCCGCCTGTGGCAGCCGTCTGGACGTTCCCAGGCAAATTTGTCACCCTCGTAGTCACCCTGGAAGAAAAACATTTAGAGCTAAAGATCTGATCAAGAGAAAAAAGAGAAGAAAAAAAAAGAAAAAAAAAAAAAATAGAGCTAATGATCTGATCCAAAGGATGCGAGCAAAGCAAATGCTACTTAAAATCCAAGAACAGTAACGCATGAAGCAGCAAGAATGCTCTGAAGCTACTGAAAGGAGCAAGAGCTAATCATCCATTCTAGATGGAAAGATCCACTAGAGGAGCTAAAAGCTTGGAAAATTTTGAGAACTTACGTGTTAAACGCGGATCTAAACGCCCCCGCCTCTTGGTCGTGGCTGACAGTAGCAGCGGCCGATCCTCCTCCTCCCATGGCATAGGCCTTCCAATCCGAGAGAAGCGATGGCGTCTCGGCGGCCGCCACAGGCGCCGCCTGGGCGCCGCCTCCAAACTGGAACATTCCTCCTCTTCCCTCCTGGAAATTCCTCCAGCGCTAGCGCCGATCGAATCCTCTCTTCCGCCGATCGATCCAGAAGCGGCATTTGCGCGACGCCATGGAGGGAAGAAAGACGAGAAAAGAAATCAGGGTTCACGCCTTCTCCTCGTGCCAAATAAGCCCTAGATGCCACGTGCTGATCGGCCATTCGCCACTCTTCTGGGGTTTAGGGTTCTTTGCGAATGGAGGAGGACGCTGGATCTTGGGAGGTATGCGGAGGCTAGAATGCGAATCGCTGGGGGAGATTTGAGGGAAGAATCTCTCGTTCCATGGTTAGAGGCAGCGGCAGATCGTGGAGGATCACGCTCAAGGATAAATTGACGGCTTCCGAGGTCACGAAGATTCTCCAGCAGCGGGATTGGGAGCAGCAGCTCGAGGGGATCCTCTCCGAAGGAAGACGAAAAGAAGGAAGAGGAAGAGCCGCCGACGAAGAAGGAAGGAAGAAAATCTCAGGAGAAATCTCCAAAGAAGAGAGGAAAGATTTGCCTGGAGGAGGAAAGAGAGAGTTCTTAGTAAGAAGGAAGGGGAAGCCTTGGCTAACGAGCAACGTCGTCAGCGCGGTGCTGTGGAGCAATGCAAAGCGCAACACTGGAGTAGACGCGGAGACTCTGCTTGGATTCTACAGATGGGCCGAGAAGAAAGCTTCCATCGGTGGGAGCTGGCAAGCGCTCCACTGCCTCTTCCCGGTGCTCTTCAAGGCTGGCTTGAGCGTGGAAGTTGGCAGAGTCGCGAGGCCGCTTTTCAACAGTGGTTTGAGGCCGAACTTGGCCATCTGCTCGATCATGATCCGGGGCTCCGTGGCTAGCAGGGATCTGGAGAACGCCCGGGTGATGATCGAGAGTGTGGTTTCCCGAGGACGAACGACGCTCCCTGCCAGTGACTTCAAGTTTATCATCAAGGCCTTTTGCAAGCTCGAGAAGATGGAGAGTGTGCTTCGGTACTTTGCCTGGATGGTTGATGCTCACGGGCCGGACGAGGTGACTTTGAGAGTCGTCATGGTGGCTCTTTGCGAGAGAAAGATGGTGGAGGAAGCGTTTGAGATTTACGAGACGGTGGCGGACAGAGGCTACCCCGTGGGTGATACGATCGTCGGTATCTTGGTCGGGGGCATTTTATCTTCCAGGCCGCTCACGGAGGTCTACGCTCTGTTCGACATGCTAAGCACCGGAGGAGACATTGCTTTGGACGCGTCCACTCTTCGGACGATAAGGGACCGCGTGCTGCTCCAGGAACGCAAAGTTCATGCTGCCGAGAGAGAACTCGGCTTTTCGGACACCGAGCTCTGGAGGTCACTTGAGAGATTGAAGGCGAGAGGCTTCGAGCCGACGTTACCAGTTGTGTTCCAGAACGTGTGCCACAGAATACAAGCGTGGCACGCCAACGAGCTCCTGCGACTGCTGCTCGAGAAAGGTATGGTTTTCGAGAGCCAGGTATACGAGATCGTCATTGAGTCACTCTGCAAAGCGGGGTACCCCGACGACGGGCTTGTTCTCCTCAAAGAGATGGCTCTTCGGCGAGTTATACCGGGAGCAGCAACTTTCAACACTGTTGCGGATGGTTTTGCGAAAGCCGGACGCTTGGAACAAGTGAAAGAAGTTTACCAGGGCATGATGGAGGCTGGGTATACGCTTCGAGCGTCTGGCTATGGCATCCTCATTTCGTGCCTGTGCAAAGTCGGCAACTTTGACGAGGCTTACAAGCTTCTTGACACGATGCGGCTAAAACGATTCAAGCGGAAAGCCATCGCTTACAGCACGATTATCAACTGGCTGTGCAAGCTCAACCGGGTGGAAGAAGCTCGAGAGCTGATTGAGAAGATGGCACGCTACGCCCCTCCAGACGCTCTCACGTATGGGCCTATTGTCGAGCGGCTGTGCAAGACGAAGAGGATCGACGATGCACTGGCCACTGTGGAGGAGATGGCGACGAGAGGTATAAAGCCGGATGCTTTCATATACAACTTTGTCCTGAGTGGACTCTGCCAGGAGGAGAAAGTGGAGGAGGCACGCTTGCTTTTCGAGAAGATGGTGAAGCAACGGATCAACCCCAACGTCGTGACTTACAACACCCTGATCAACGGCCTCTGCAAGGCCTGGCGGATCGAGACGGCTTACGAGCTGTTCAAAGAGATGGCCGGGAAAGGATACGTTCCAACGGAGGTGTCTTACAACACTCTCATCGACGGGTTTTGCAAGAAGAAGGATCTGGTCGCTGCGAAGGACGTTTTTGACAAGATGGTCCGCAGTAACTGCGTCCCAAACGTGGTCACGTACACGACTCTGATCGACGGGCTTTCGAAGTCGGGCAAGGTGCAAGCAGCAGCCGAAGTCCTGGACGGCATGGTGAAGAAAGGGGTCACTCCGAATGTTGCGACGTACAGCTGCCTCATCGATGGTTTCTGCAAGGTGCGGAGAGTGGACGAGGCGCACAAGCTCCTCGAGCAGATGGTCACACAGGGGATCGCTCCGACGGTCGTGACTTACAACATCCTTCTCAACAGCCTCTGCCGCGCGGACAAGCTCGAGGACGCGTTCAAGCTCTTCCGGGGCATGGCACAGAGACGGTGTCACCCGACGGTGGTGACTTACAACACCTTGCTGAGAGCTCTGTGCCACCACAAGCAACTCGATGGAGCTCACAGGTTGTACGCCGAGATGATCGCCAAGGGATGTCCCCCCGACGCGATAACGTATGACACGCTCGCTTGGGGGTTGACCAGAGCTGGGAAGGTTCACGAGGCGCAGGAACTCATGGAAAAGATGAAACTTACGAAACGCAATCCCTTCGGTCGAAGCTCACAAGGAAAGGCATAGGAACAAGGTACTTCTTCTCTACTTCTAACCGGTTTACTTGTCGAAGCTCACACTTCTTCTCTACTTAGTTTTCTTTTTCTGCACGACTAATGCTTCGTTTTAGATGGCTGTGGCGAAGAGCATGCTCGTGATCGCGACTGGATTTACTCGTTTTGCTATCGGTGAACAACTTTCTTCTTAGACAATCCAGCCAACTTTCCGCGACAAGCTGAGGTTCCGTATTGCTGGCGTAACTTGAGGGTCCATTGCTACGCTAGTGGACCGTCGACTAAGCATTCTTTTAGTTGCGTTTCCAGGATTTCCTTGCGAAATTCCTAGAGCTTTCCCAGCAAGCTTAGGGGATCTATAAGAGAGGCTCCTTGCTCGCTCATCTGCGGGAGGAATGAGGAAGTCTGGTGGCCACTCGGTGCAGAAGTCGAAGACGGTGGGACCTCCGCCGCAGCAGAAGCGAACGAGCTCAACTCAAGCCGCCTCTCCAAGCTCGGATTTTTCTCCAGGCTACGGATCACAGCAGCAGGAAGGGATTTGCGAGTTCCAGGATGTGCTCGACTTGCTGCAGAGAAAGGGTAAGGCGTGCTCGTTTCATTCGTTTTTCTTCCTTTCGCTAAGTGTAGCACGACTTTGTGAATCCCAGGAAGAAAGACGAGCAAGAAGGAATTGGGTAAGGCTCTCGAGTCGCTGGGCTACAACGCTACGCAGGAGGAGCTCCAAGAGATGATCGACGGCGTCACTGCCGGAAGCGACGATCCCTGCCCTGTCGATATCTCATACTTCATGGAGTTAATAGCCAAAAAGATGAAGGTAACTTTAGCCATATGCTCACGAGGAAACTGAAAATTTCGTCTTTTGGGAGTGTCCCACAGGATGAAGATTCGTCCGTGAGATTGAGAGAAGCGTTCGCGAACTTCGACAAGGATAAGAACGGATTCATCTCGGCATCAGAGGTTCCGTGACAGATTTTTCTTTCTCAAACTTCCGTGCTAATTGGATCCTCCAAATCTTTTTTCGCAGCTCTCGAATGTGCTCAAGACGATGGGCCAAGACCTGACTGACAAGGATTTGGATCGGATGATCGAGCTCGCTGACATCGACGGTGACGGCCAAGTAAACTACGAAGAATTTGTGAACATGATGATGGCCAGGAATGAATAGGAGTTAACAGGTGGTGGAATATTCTCTCCCGCGTTTGGAATGGATATTCCGGTAGCTCTTTTAAAGCATATTCTGGTCCGGCGTGGTACATTCTGTTGTGTCCTCTTTTACAGGGCGTGGGCGATTTAAACCAAACGGGAGTGGGCGTCAAGAAAAACATTTGCCCATGGCTATGGTTGATGCGTGAAGCGAGGATTGCTGGAGGATTAGGGTTAGGGCTTTTGCGCAGCGGGGGAGTGGCGAGCAGCTCGATCGGTGGCCCGGCGCATGCGCTGTGATGAGAAATCCGCCCCGTTGCCCCGCAGCCGGACCGGACGGAGGTAATTTCTTGCCGGCGCCGCTAGATCCATGCGCGACAAGCTACATTCTCGCGCTGTGGCGCCGCTAAGCTGGCAATGCGGGTAGATCTCACGGATCTATAGCTGCCTGGGCGAGAAATGTCGTTTAAGAATTTCATCCGGGACATCCAGGAGCTCAAGGGCGGGATTGGCAGCATCTCCAGGCGGAGCTTCGAGGTGAGGCTGTCGCAGCCCCAGCAGCAGCCACACCACAGGTCTCGCTCCTCGTCGCTCGCCTCTGTCGGTGGCGATCCAGCGGCGCCGCCGGATCACAGGAATGAGATGTCTCGGCAGAGCTGCTGGGCCAACATGCCGCCGGAATTGCTGCGAGACATCATCCAGAGGCTCGAGTCGAGCGACAACGTGTGGCCGTCGCGGAAGAACGTGGTTGCATGCGCTGCCGTGTGTAGCACCTGGAGGGAGATCACCAAAGAGCTTGTCAAGTCCCCGGAGCTCTCTGGAAAGCTCACCTTTCCAGTCTCCCTCAAACAGGTAATTCATTCCTTCCTCTGTGCATTGTCTCTTCTTCTCTTCCTTTTTGTTTCCAGTGTTTGCTCGATTCTAACTTTGCTGGATTGGAACTTGTGGCTTGTCTCTGTGTTTGTGTAGCCTGGGCCAAGGGATGCAACAGTTCAGTGCTACATCGAACGGGACAGGACGACTGCTACATACAGGCTGTTCCTGGGCTTGACACCAAGTATGTCTTCTCTTTCCTGGACAGCTCTCGCGAAGTTGGTTGAGATTGTCTTTTGCTTTTGGTGGTCTCAGCACTGACGGAAAACGGGAAATTCTTGCTGGCCGCAAGGAAGTCGAGGCGGGCGACCAGCACTGACTACATCATCTCGATCGACCCCGAGGACATGTCTCGGGGCAGCAGCAGCTGCGTTGGAAAGCTGAGGTAGTACTGAAGTTTTCCTCCGCCGCGTGTTTACGTTGTTTTTAATCACAGGTCAAACTTCCTGGGCACAAAGTTCGCGATCTACGACACACAACCGCCCCACAGCGGTGCGATCGCGTCAACAAATCGTGCAGGCCGCCGAGTTGCTGCAAAACAGGTGTCCCCGAAGGTCCCCGCGGGAAGTTACAACGTTGCGCACATATCCTACGAGCTCAACGTGCTGGGTACGAGGGGTCCGAGACGCATGCAGTGTACTCTCCACGCAGTCGGTGCCGTGTCCATGGACTCCGACTCGGAAGGCATGGCAGTACCGGCCTCCACGGAGCTGTCCGGCCACCACGCCGACGACTCCTCCTCCTTCACCTTCATGTCCGCAAAGCCCAGCGCCGCAGCCCCGGTGGCCGACGACGCCGTCGGCGAGCCCGGCTTGAGCAGCAGCGGCGGCGATCGGTACGTGAAGGGCGATCCTCTGGTGCTCAAGAACAAGTCTCCCAGGTGGCACGATCAACTCCAGTGCTGGTGTCTCAACTTCCGGGGCCGGGTCACTGTTGCTTCCGTGAAGAACTTCCAGCTGGTGGCAGCGGCGGATCAACCTCCGGCTCCTGTTTGCCAGGGCGAGCAGGACAAAGTCCTGCTCCAGTTTGGGAAGATTGGTAAGGACATGTTTACGATGGATTACAGGTACCCGCTCTCGGCATTCCAGGCGTTTGCTATCTGTTTAAGCAGCTTTGATACGAAGCTGGCTTGCGAGTAGCCAGCCATTGCTGGGCGCCTTGCTATTGCTACACAGGTACTGGTTGTAGTTCGTTTTTCTAGTTTTTTTCTCGTGTAGAACTTGTAAGCTGATATTCATCTTTAAAACTCCCTTTCTTTTCTTCGTCTTTTTTCTTTCATGTGTATCATGTTTGAGTCACTTCAAGCCAAGAAGAAAGACAAATAGTCCAATCCAAACCTTATATATACAAAAAAAAACCTCTCGGCCAAGCAAGATGGGAGATTGCCCCACAAGAGCTCTCACAAGAGCTCTCACGTTGCTGCGAGACAAGTGGTGGACACTCGTCCATTTTCGTTGGAAACTCGTCCATTGTCGTTGTCCCTTGTTGTGTCGCTTGTGTCCGGCGTTCCAGAACTTCCACCGGAGGTATCGCTGCCTGCATTCTCGCTTGCTTGATTGGAATTGGAACAGTGTCCACCATTCGTGGTACCCGTAGTAGTAGTGGTAGTAGCGGCAGTAGCAGTGGCAGTAGTGATCGTAGTTGTAGAAGTAGTGGAGTATCTTAAAACTTGCGATGTTCTAGCACTTGGAGGAAACTGGAACGAAGCCGAAGTTAACGGTGACGGTGGCGGGGAGAACCTCCGCTTTTTGGATCTGTCGTTCCGCCTAGACGAGGAAGGATTCCCTGACAACCTGAACATCGCTTTATTACCGCATCACGACAACAGGAGCTTGGTTCTTTGTGATTTACCTGTCTCGTCGTTTAGCCAGGAATCTCTGTAGCGATGCACTTCTGACCTGTGGAAGCCCTGCTCAGGGTCAGGAGACAAAAATCCTTGCATAGAAAAGCACACCAAGTACCAGGTTCCGTGCAGCTTTCGTCGGGTAGAGCTGAACCCGAGCTTAGATATATTTGAGGAGCTTGTTGGTGCTGCATCGGGTACTTTTGCGTGGCTTCGGTTTGTTGGTTAAGCTCTCGTTGTTGTTGTTGTTGTTGTTGGGTTGCACTCGTAAACGGCGGATGGCCAGGCACTGAACTTGTCGGAACGTGAAACGTTTTACTCGCGGCAAGAAGCATTATAGCTTGTGCCTGTTAAACTGATGTCATGCTTTGAAAAAATCGATGGCAACAAACACGCTTTCGCTGACCTTGTCAAGCGGGACATCGTCGTACACGTTCACAATACCGGAGTAGAAAATGGTCAGCTGGGCACTGTGAGGCTTTGTCGTTGACGCGGGTTTAGAACTAAACAGCCAAGAGTGGTGTAAGACTACTTGTCAAAGCAAACTTGCCTACCTCAGCGGGTTACGTTTCGCATCGGGATTGAGAACTGATAACGTCGGGGCAAGAGATCCAAAGCATCCGGCGAGCGGCCTAGGATCAGAGGCGTTGTTAGATGGACAAGAATCTGGCATGCTTTGCTGAGAGACCTTGTCCAGTAATTGTTTGGTGTGACCAGCAGCAGCTGCTTCAGCCGGAGGGGCCTGCAAGGAAAGAAGAAGAATAAAAGGATCTCTCGGACTAAACTTCCAAGGATTCGCGATATGCTTACGTTCGCGGCACTTCCCGGGTTCTTGGAGGAAGGGCCTACCGGATTGGAAGGACAAAGCAAACTCCTCAAAGACAGCACTTGCTGGATCGCCTGTGCCTTGTTCCAAGACGGCCTGCGCATTCCTAGCAAGTAGCAAAGAAAAACCATCAAAATAATTCCCCACAAAGAAGAGAAGAGACACACGAGCTTACCCCGTTCCTTGAGATAGCGTCTACAGTCCTCCCGCGTGAGCTGCCTGATATCCAGCTCCGTGAGCTCCTCCAGCGGCCTGAGAGGCGCGGGCACCTCGGCCGCCGCGGCTGGAGCAGGATTACCGGTGACCGCGACGCCATTGCTAGAACCGCAACCTAGAATCGAGGCCGCCATGGGAGGCGCAATGCTGCTGTGGAGAATGCAAGGGATGTTAGCCTAGAAATCGCCCCGCCGGAGCCGAGAAGACGCCGAATTGGGGAGACGAGCTCGCCGAGGATGAAAGCGCGCATCCATAGAGATTAAAATTAGGGCGGCTTTAAGCCGGCCACGTCAACCGTGGGATCCGCGCGCCACGTGGCAGTACAGCCCATTCCGAATATCCGATATATCCACGACACGCTGTTTACCCATTCCTACTTGTCAAACGACACGCTATGTACCCTTCCCTACGTGGCGATTGGACACATCTGGGCCGTCCATCGCCGCTTCATATGGTTCTCCTTTTAATTTTTTTTCTCGCCATTCAATGAAGATTTTGGGCTCCTCTTCTCCCGTCCTCCCGCTCGCGCTCCTTTTCCTCGTCGCGATTTTCCTCCTCTCTAGCGTCAGCGAGCTCCAAGATCTCCTCTTCTTCTCCAGGTCCGCGCGCCTGCTCCACAAATCCGCGGCGCTCCATTGCTCCGCCGGCGATGCTCCCGGCGATCGCGGGCGGCCTCCAAGATCGCGCAACGCCAGCGCCGGCGCGGCGTCGTGCCCGCGATATTTCGCGAGGATTCGAGAGCACCTGGCGCCATGGCGATCGACTGGGATCACGAGGCGGAGCCTGGATCGCCGGCAGCGGCTGGGGTCAATGCGCGTCGCGATCCTCGGCGGCCGGATGTACGTCAGGGCGTACGGCGATTGCCCGCAGAGCCGCAGCGTCTTCTCGCTCTGGGGCTTGCTCCTGATGCTGGAAAGGTTTGGCGATCGCGTCCCCGACGTGGAGTTTGTCTTGAATTGCAAGGATCGGCCCATCGTGCCCAGGGATGGATCCTATGGAGGCGTCCCGTCCCCGGTTCTCAGCTATTGCAGCCATCGCCATAGCCTCGACATCCCTTTTCCCGATTATTCCTTCTGGGGATGGTAAGTTTTAGAGATTTTTTCTTCTCTTCTCTCTTGCAAGTCCGTGTTTAGTCCTCGCATTCCAGATTTTCCTGTAGTTGTCTGATCGATTGAAATCGGTCTGATTGGATGATTGACTTGGTTTGAAGCCGTGATCACTCATTGTACTTCTTTCTTGGGTCAGGTCTTTTTTCTCCGCTTTAAAGTTTGTTCTCTTTGAAAACAACAAATATTCTCTGACAAACCGTGTTAGGCCGGAGGTAAACATTCGTCCCTGGGAGCAAGAATCGCAGGAGATATTCCAGGGATCCCAGGACGTTGAATGGAACAAGAGGCAGCCCCTTGCGTTTTGGAAAGGGAATTTGAGAATGGGGAAGCTTAGAAATCTTCTGGCTCGATGCAACTCCACCGAGTTTGGCACCCTTGTCTTTGACCAAGTAAGCATTTGATCGTGGTGGTTTTATTAGCTGATCGTGTCCAATGGTGCAATTACAGAACTGGATTGCTGAAGCCAACGTTGGATACGCAAACTCCAAGTTGTGCAAACAGTGCAACCAAAGGCACGGCTATAGTCCTCTGTTGTGGCTTTGAAAGCTCTTCTAATGCTCTTCCAATGTTCCACTTTCAGGTATAACATCTATGCCGAGGGAGCAGCATGGTCGGCGAGCCTCAAGTATAAAATGGCTTGTGGCTCCACTTTGCTCTATTTGGACTCGGAGTACGATGAGTTCTTCACAAAAGGTTTGCTCCCAAACATCCACTTTATGCCAATCTCTTCAAAGGAGGAGGAGATGTGCCAATCTTTGAGAGATGCGGTCAACTGGGGAAACTCCCACGCGCATGAGGTATATATGTATAGTTTTTAATCACGAAAAGCACTGATCATCGCCATCAAATTTGGGATTTTGCCAGGCACAGAATATTGGGAGAAGTGGACAGGCTTTCATGCGAGAGCAAGTTAACATAGATCAGGTATACAATTACATGTTTCACCTTCTGTCGGAGTACTCCAGGCTGCAAAGGTTCACTCCGGAGATACCCAGAGGAGGCCGATTTTTTTGTAGAAGAGCTCTCCAATACATTGCAGAGTTGTATGGCAAACAAAATTACATTGGGGCTCACAAAAGAGTCGAAGACTCTGAGCCATGCACAATGCTATTTAACATTACTTCATAGATTGATAAAGGTAAATTAATATTTTTTATTATCATGAAAAAAACAGGAAAAGGCATAAAATTTGTTATCTTCTTTTCTTCAGAATTTCTAATTTTAGCTTTAAAGCAAAGGAGCAATGCACCTTATTGTTAAGCTTCATGTGAACTTATGATAGCAGGAAACTAAAAGATGGGAAGTTTAGTGTGTTTATTATGGATTCAAGCATTATTCCAAATATTTCAACTTAGTGCCTGCCACCAAATTTGTCGAGTCTCCAGGTTATAGATGAAAACATTTCCCTCTCCTCTCACAACAACACTAGAGAGCACAATGCAATCTGGTTGGGGCTTGCAATACACTCCAGCCGCCCAAAAAACATTCCCGTAACTGTCCTTGATAACCAAATTTCCATCCTGTTGTTGTATAGCGTAGCATCCAGCAGAAGGATGATAATCATGTTTGCTCACCCAGATTTCCTGGTGGTTACTCTTTTTCCTTAGAGCTAATCTGCAATCTATACGCAAAGTCAACCTGTAGAGCCCATTCAAAGAATTGATACTATTCCCTTGTAGAAGATAAGATCCAGGTACCTTGGCCTGGCTCCCTACAAGCGAGCTTTCGAAACTCCAGCAGCTCCCTTGATCACCATCAGTTTCGTCTGTAATAATCATTGACGAACTCCTTGTATATAAACTGCCACCATTAATCACTGATGAATTCCTTACATATAGATTGCTACCATAAATCATAAATGAATTCTTTGCATATAAAGTGCGATGATTGTAGACAACAAGCTGATAGTCGATTGCAAAATGCAAGTACTCCGTGCGTATGCGTCCACAGAAGGTCAAGCTATTTGGATCACTAGCAGCATCCATGGAGATCTGTGCAGCAATCCGAAAGAGTGAATTCCTTACATATATGGGACGAAATATGTAGGGGATTGAGGGATCAGCAACACAGATTAGAAACTGATTATTTACAGCTAAAGGCGCATTCAGGTGCAAATTGAACCTTAGTCTGGTGTGGTTGCCAAACCACACATCTAAAATAGACCCTCCTACTTGAATTTGTTGATTATCGCTGTATACACGATAAATATGCTGAACAAGCTGACGCATACCAGTTCGAAACCGTGATAATGATAACCCCCGAAT